TAAATAAAAATGGTAATTATTGGAAGAAAACCATAGCTAACTGGAACCAAACTGCAAAAACAAAAAATTTTACCAAGTATTTCTGGTCAAGTTTCTATTGTAAGTATTTTAAAATGCTTGAAATAAAACAAAACTAAGTTAAAAGTTACTTTTCAACAAGATAAAGGAGCTTGTTTTAAGTAAAAAAAGAAATTAATATTGATAGGAAAAAAGTATTTCCACTGGCAGATCATTTCACTTTAACATTGTAAAAATGTGTTTTTGTAAGTTAAATAATCTGCCTGTGCAACCAGCAGGTTTTTATCAATATTAAGAGGAAACTTTCCTGGTTTGAAGAATTTTGCAGCTCATTATATTGATAAACTCGTTTTAAAGAGATGTAAACTCATTACAATGAGAAACTTTTATTTCATTTCTCACTAAAACAAGACATTTTTTCTTTTTGTTGAGGAGATTATATCTTTTTTTGTGTTTTTGCCATCCATCCATCCATCCATCCATCCATCCATCCATCCATCCATCCATCCATCCATCCATCCATCCATCCATTTTCTAACACCTTGTCCCTGTGGGGTCAGGAAGGTTGCTGGTGCCTCTCCAGCTAATGGGTGAGATTCAGGGCTGTTTTTGCCATATTAAATGTTAAAGAAACTCTTGCATTGCTTTGCTGTTTCATCATGGTTCAGTGACAGTCAAATGTAGGACGAAGTCGTTGATTTAATGTCGCATTTAGAGGCTGCAGGATGAAAACTTAGAGTTTAAATATCCAAGCTGTCCTCCTTGATGCGGCGCTGCAGTCTCCTCCTCCTCCTCTTCACTTCAACATTTCAGCTTGTTGCATCTTCCGCATTAAGTTTTGATTCAGTCGTATGTTCAGTTCTCAGGTGTGCCGTCGATCAATGAAATATTAAACCTATGAATTCAAGGAGATGTCACATTCTGTGTTTCATCCATTATGCAAACCTACACTACGATGTTGACGTTTTGAATTTCAATACGGAGGAAGAAACGAGAAATCTTTAAGCTTTTAATCTGTTTTACAATCCTGAACAGAAACTTGAATTTCCTAAAATGAAGATAAAAAGGTGATGCTAATCAACCACTGCAGTGTTAGCTTAGCTAATAGCAGCGGTAGCTAATCTATCACAGCAATCAATTATTAATAATCTCAAAATAAGCATCAAGCCTACAAACATAAAACTGTGAGGGACTGAATGTTCTGTTCTTCGTGTGGGAAATGCTTGAGTGTTTTTGGTGTTGAATCCTGATACATTAGAGGAGCTGTTATCAGTCAGTTGCTATGGCAACGAGTCTGCGCGTAGCGTAGCCGACATAGAGAGTGAGAAAAAAGTATTTTTGAGTTGCTCTTTAACAGTTTTCCTGCTTTGTTTTTCCCTTTGCTGCGGCGCACTGCACTACATTAATAATATCTACGTCTCCAGGTTTCATTTCGTTAACAGAGTCGTTCCGCCGCGGCTACGGATGGCATGTAGGAGAATCGTCTTTTTGCCCTCCAGTGTTGTGCGTGAAATTTCCAGACGTAAACAATAACATTCAAGGTGTGTATATCAGAAAAGCCTTAATATGTTACTAACAAAAACTGGACATTTTTCAGTCTCATTCCCCCTTCGTCCTGTGAAGCCATCATTAACTCTCCTCAGCAGTCAGGAGGAGATGAGGAGGGAAGAGATTTGGTTACCGTAACATAAATCTTCACGTCTCCTCTGTGTGTGAAAGTCGGGCAGTGGGGCGACGGGCCTCTTAGCACCGCTGTCTTTGGGAACACCAGCATGTTTCCCAGAGGAGATAGAAGAGATAGGCCTGGCGCCTCAACTCAAGTCTTTCAACCCTCCTTCGCTCTGCTTCCCTCACAGTCTGCACTTATCTCAGCGAAGACACAACAGGGTTCTGTACAGGGGAGCAAAGTGGGGAGGATTCAGATGGCAGACCACTATGGAGGGGCTGGAGAATCTCTCCAGAGCATCGGACGGCTCTACAGCATGATCCAAACTCAGTTTCTGCTGTGCATAAGTAGATACTGTTCATACAGAATGAAAACACAGAAAATTACCCACATTCGGACAGATCCCAACTCACATTTGGGCAATCAAACCAACACCAGTGGAGAATTTCAACCCTGAGCAGCAGCAGTGGCCACATTTAAGCTAATCTGCTGATAGCAGAGCTAATTTCTCTTTTACCGTTTAGCACTTTGAAAGCATCTGTATTGAAGTTTTGGTCATCGAATTTTAAGATTTCTTAGTTACATATTTATACTAATGCTCTTATTTTGAAATCTGTCTACAAAGCAGTTCCATCCACAGTTATTGAACTTTATTCAGCTGAAAGTTAACAAAACACCCATGTAAATTAGTGGTTTAGAATTTATCCGGAAAAAATAATATACGGGAAGCTAAGTGTGCCAAATGTTTTAAAAGTTAGTAAAAACACTAATGGGATAAAAAAAAGAAATTAGCTTCACTATTTGTGCATTAGCAGAAGTTTTCCCATCCCTAGTAATTACTTTATCACATTGGGAAGCCTTTTTCCTCCTAAAACAGCTTTTTGTGTTTGTCAACATTAAAACGTGACAAAAAGAAGCAAATAAAAGAGAAATCTGGACGAGAGTTAAAGTAAACGCGACTCCTTAGGCACATGTTCCAGCATCTCTTCATCACTACTTGTGTGTCTTGAAATCTGAGATATAAATCATATGTGACAGCGCTCTGATATGGGCTAATAGGGCCCTCAGATCTGAAAGCTGACACAGCAAACACTCTGTCGTGCAGCCCGCAGGTTGTTTGTCTCTCACACACACACACACACACACACTCAGAGGTGGCCCTGAAGACGAGAGGCCATTTCTTGACTGACCATAACTCAGTTCATCACACACACACACTTAAATTTACACAAATAGACAACCAATGAAAGACAAAGTACATATTCTGTTCTTCCATCCACATCTTAAAGGGACCCATTATGTAAAATTATTCTTCCATTTGAGCCACAACTGTTTCTAAAAAACACCCAGCTGTTTTTTGTAATTAAGTTAAGGTTTTTTAGTCTGGAAAATGAGCCGTTTCAAAAACCATTGTCAAGTCCCGCTGCGTCGTTACCCAGCAACCCTGGCAGAGTTCAGCCCGTTACCTAGCAACCAAATCTGAATTCCATTGCTGTATGTGCTGTACAATGGCTGCTGGAAAAGACAAGTGTGTTGTTGCTGACTTAACATCCAGAAACCACTTCCTGCTTTCTTGTTGGTTGTGCAGCAGGCTGCACTTCTGCTTTTCAGACATGAACGGTTGTATAATTGCATGTCTGTTTGCAGCCATTTTCATGTGTGAGTCTAGATGTTGAGTTGGTGGGCGTGGCCAGCAGCAGCAGCTTATTTGTATTTAAAGTGATAAGAGCCCCTAAAGGAGCTCATTCAGAAAGGAGTAGACTAAAATCTCATTATTTAACAATGATTTTGTGAAAAACATGTAACAAACATGTTTTGAATAGGCCATATTTCTATCCTAATGTTTATTTTGGGGTTTTCCAGTTTGAAGACATCCATGCCTCCCATCTCTCAGCGGAGTATCAACGCGTGTGTGAAGGAGGGGGTTGGGCGTCTAGGTCAGAGTATTGACTGCTGAAACAGATGCCGATGTGTGTGTGTGTGCGTGCGTGCGTGCGTGTGTGCGTGCGTGTGTGTGTGCTTGCGTGCGTGCGTGCGTGCGTGCGTGCGTGCGTGCGTGCGTGTGTGCGTGCATGCGTGTGTGTGTGTGTGCCACCTATGTCAACATGGTCGGTCTCCGGACTCGATGCTGCGAGCAGATAGGACTCTGCCCACAGAGCCACAGAGTCTAGACTCCAGATGTGTTCAGAAACACACACACACACACACGCACACATGCATGCACGCACACACACACACACACACACACGCACGCACGCACATACACACACACACACACACACACACACATGCACGCACACGCATCATATTCAACAGTCCACTACACACAGGGTTTACTATGGATAGTAAGAAGTATTTACACCACTTAAACTTTTGCACATTTTGTCACTTTAAAACTACACATTTCTGTGTATTTTATTTATTTATTCTACCTTTTGTCTAACTTCTTTTAGACTAATAACTCTTTAAGTAAATTAGTTATTTAATTTACCTTTGGGATCAATAAAAGCATTTCTGAATGTGAAAACAGCTAAAACTCTGTCAGATTGGATTAAAAGCATTTGTGATTAAACGGTTTTATGAGAGTGAAGTTAAAAAAATGTATGTGAAATAAAATATTTGATGGTTAAGAGGGTAAATAACATCACATTGTGTTGGATCTGTTTTGGTTTTGGATTGTTGTCTTTCCTTTTATTTTTCAGAAAAATTATTCAATGATTGTTGAACAACCAAGTGACTCTGGTGTTTTCTTCCAACTATTGCTGTCGCCTCCAGATCAAAAGGCTAATAAATAGATTAATAAACACAAAAATGAAGGTGTTATATCTAACTTTAGTATGTTTTAGTTAGTTTTATAAACGTGCGATTTAGTACTAGTTTTTCCTTGTTAATTATCAATTTTTTCATCAAAATATTTCAGTTTTTGTTGCTTCATTAGTTTTAGTTAACAATAATAACCTTGGTTGCTGGTGCAGCGCCCCCACAGGCGAGAAGGGGAACAGGTTTTGTCAAACAATTTGCTTTGTCAAACTGAAGTTGAACCACAGCAGCTGAAAATGTAACAAATGTTGCAGTTTTTGTCCCAAATTAAAGTAAATCTAGGAGACAATCAGGTGTGAAAACACTTTGAAAGAATCGTACATCTTGTAAACGATTCCAGCACAAACTTTACACACATATCCAGACAATCCCAAGTTACAGCACTGCAAAAACTAACTTTGACTGCTTTACTGGTGTTGTTTCACAGTCGTGTGCATTTAAATTAACAGCCACTTCTCTGAAAACTGCACTGAAATAAACAGAAACATATGCTGGTTGCATATGCTCAGCACTGCTTTATTTAGACCGTTCTAAAGCAACACAACGACGAGGGTGTTTTTGTGAGAAAGACACATGGTTAAATTGCAACTGTTATACAAAACAAGTCTCGGGGAGAGAAAAAGTAAAGAGCAGAAATGTTCGGAGCACAGATGCACCCGCTCTCTAGCTATCTCCTGCGCTTGTGGGTATAGTGCCGATCCAGCTATTCTTGTTGGTTTGTTAATTGTTTGTCACCCACCAGGTGCCATCTGTCTGTAGTCCCACAGTCCCCGAGCCATGTGGGCCGGCCTGCCTGGCGCCTGCCAACGTCACTGACCTGCAGCAACCGTCCACACCTCCGTCACACACCTCCTGATCCGTCTGGGATAAATAGCTTCTCCCTCAACTTCTGTGCCGCCATAACGGCTTCCCAATCTGTCCTGTGTTAGAAGGCGAGGGGGTGGGGGGGTGACAGGAAGAGAGAAGAGACACAGAGAGCAAGAATAAACAAGAGAGATGGATGGAGGCAGAGATAAGACGTCTGTAAACTGATTACTGAAGCTTCACAAAGAAAACGGACACTCGAAAAGTCACCAGTCAGCCAATCATCCCTAACACTACAATGCATGTTTTCCTTTTCATCAAATGTACCAATTCCTGAACAGAGCGGAAGAAACTTCCTGAAGTTTGAAAATGAACATCAGAAAGATGTGAAGTGACTGTGAACACAATGTGGATACGGAGGGGAAAGCGTCTCTGCCGCGACTGCAGGCAGTTTGACTCCAATAACAGAAAACATTCACTAGATTTATCACTGAAGTCTGAAAACTCGTTGCTACAAAGTTGCTAAGTTGGCCACGCCCCTTAGTGTGTCTCGACTCCACCCACTTTTGATTTTTATTTATTAATTTGGAGGCAGTTAAGCTGTCACATACACTTTAAAGGGGCAGTTTTATGTTTTCCAGGGATATAGTGAAATTTTATAGCACAATCAATTATCTTCAATTGTTAAATAATACTGAAAATATTAAATATGACTTAAAATAGATTTCCTGATTAAACACCTTGAAATTGGGCCTGTCTCTTTAAAAACTCCTGCTGTTTCTGAAGCTCCGCCTCCATGAGGTCATCACAACATGGCTCTTCTATTAACCCTTTAACAATGTTCTACCAGCTTTTCTCTGAGAAGCAGCTCCTTTAATGAGCTCAGCTGTTTGCTAATTGCTGCTGGCTAGTCTGAAGGAGCAGAGTGGGGAAGGAGCTGTGTCTCAAAGGCGGGGCCAGGTCCAACCAGGCGTTTTACAGAAGGATTTCTCAAACATGCATGAAAGAATCAAGGCAACACTCCTAGTATGTTTATGAGGAGGGAATGACATCATAACAAGAAGTATGGCTCAAAACGTTGATTTTACATGATTCTGGCCCTTTAAACTGAAACATTCAGTACCTAATAAAGTGGCCAATGGCTGCAAATAGGGATTACCTTTAGTTCTCTTTATTCTGACATTTATCTCAGTATAACACATCATGTGACTATGTGACACCACATAGTTCTTGTGTGACATCACATAGTTCTCAAGTGATGTCACAGTTCCATGAACTTTGTAACTGACAGCCATCTTGATAGGCAGTTGCTATGACAACAATGAACAAACAAGCTTAGAACAAGCTCTCACCTCATTCCTACCTTATAAACAGTACATTAGAGCTACTACTCGATTAATTTGAGGACTCTGTTTCTCAAACCTTTTCACACTGAGGACCACTGAACCCATTTAATAAACACTCACTGACCACAGATCCTGAAATAAGGATTCTCAGCTTTCCAATGATGTCAAACACATGGTTGGTCTTTACTTTCAAAAGTTGAGTCCATCAGTAACATTTAGAGCTATTTGTAATTTAGAAGCACAATAAAACAATAATAGAGACTTGAGTTTCTTTGGCAGAAACAAAAGTTCTCTCCAGCACCAATAAATATAAAAAGTTATCCAGTATATCAATTGTTTGTTGTAATTAAGTAATCTTTAATTAAATAAAAATAACCGTTGATGTGTGAGCAGAACATTTCAGCAAGAAGAGTCGTAGAAAATAAAGAACAGTTCTCATTAAGTGTCCACGTTATTTTTGGCATCGAAGCGAATGCGCAAGCCTATCTAAGACGGCGAGGATCACTTCCGGTTCAGAGCTGTGGGGGGTCTACGTCATAACCCTGGCAAACCAGAAAGGTTTTCTACCTCGCAGCAGTGAGAGAGCCGCGGATCCCAAACGGTGGAGCAGGTCACCTTCACCTGAGCCTGATGTTCGGGCAGCTGCGCGTTGAAAAATGAGATCAGCTGCTTGCTCACCGGGACGCGGGCAGCAGCCTGGAAACACCCAGGGCCAAGAGCAGCGACCGGCATGGGGCGGCCTGGGTGCAGTCTGCCGTCCCGGGGCCAGGCAGGTCACCTTGACGACCGGGCCGGCGAACAGAACCGCGCCCCCAGCAGGGCGAGCGGGGAGGTTTCACAGGTAATGAGGCATCGCAGTGAGACTGGAGCGGAGCTCGGACAGCAGCTTGGAGAGAAACCTGGGAGGAATGTAAGAAAAGCAATAATTCAACATATTTTCACTGTCCAAGTGTCCAAGAAGTTATTCAAGTAAGAGTAAAAAAGTATTTGGTGAAAAGTCTATTCANACACACACACACACACACACACACACATGCACGCACACGCATCATATTCAACAGTCCACTACACACAGGGTTTACTATGGATAGTAAGAAGTATTTACACCACTTAAACTTTTGCACATTTTGTCACTTTAAAACTACACATTTCTGTGTATTTTATTTATTTATTCTACCTTTTGTCTAACTTCTTTTAGACTAATAACTCTTTAAGTAAATTAGTTATTTAATTTACCTTTGGGATCAATAAAAGCATTTCTGAATGTGAAAACAGCTAAAACTCTGTCAGATTGGATTAAAAGCATTTGTGATTAAACGGTTTTATGAGAGTGAAGTTAAAAAAATGTATGTGAAATAAAATATTTGATGGTTAAGAGGGTAAATAACATCACATTGTGTTGGATCTGTTTTGGTTTTGGATTGTTGTCTTTCCTTTTATTTTTCAGAAAAATTATTCAATGATTGTTGAACAACCAAGTGACTCTGGTGTTTTCTTCCAACTATTGCTGTCGCCTCCAGATCAAAAGGCTAATAAATAGATTAATAAACACAAAAATGAAGGTGTTATATCTAACTTTAGTATGTTTTAGTTAGTTTTATAAACGTGCGATTTAGTACTAGTTTTTCCTTGTTAATTATCAATTTTTTCATCAAAATATTTCAGTTTTTGTTGCTTCATTAGTTTTAGTTAACAATAATAACCTTGGTTGCTGGTGCAGCGCCCCCACAGGCGAGAAGGGGAACAGGTTTTGTCAAACAATTTGCTTTGTCAAACTGAAGTTGAACCACAGCAGCTGAAAATGTAACAAATGTTGCAGTTTTTGTCCCAAATTAAAGTAAATCTAGGAGACAATCAGGTGTGAAAACACTTTGAAAGAATCGTACATCTTGTAAACGATTCCAGCACAAACTTTACACACATATCCAGACAATCCCAAGTTACAGCACTGCAAAAACTAACTTTGACTGCTTTACTGGTGTTGTTTCACAGTCGTGTGCATTTAAATTAACAGCCACTTCTCTGAAAACTGCACTGAAATAAACAGAAACATATGCTGGTTGCATATGCTCAGCACTGCTTTATTTAGACCGTTCTAAAGCAACACAACGACGAGGGTGTTTTTGTGAGAAAGACACATGGTTAAATTGCAACTGTTATACAAAACAAGTCTCGGGGAGAGAAAAAGTAAAGAGCAGAAATGTTCGGAGCACAGATGCACCCGCTCTCTAGCTATCTCCTGCGCTTGTGGGTATAGTGCCGATCCAGCTATTCTTGTTGGTTTGTTAATTGTTTGTCACCCACCAGGTGCCATCTGTCTGTAGTCCCACAGTCCCCGAGCCATGTGGGCCGGCCTGCCTGGCGCCTGCCAACGTCACTGACCTGCAGCAACCGTCCACACCTCCGTCACACACCTCCTGATCCGTCTGGGATAAATAGCTTCTCCCTCAACTTCTGTGCCGCCATAACGGCTTCCCAATCTGTCCTGTGTTAGAAGGCGAGGGGGTGGGGGGGTGACAGGAAGAGAGAAGAGACACAGAGAGCAAGAATAAACAAGAGAGATGGATGGAGGCAGAGATAAGACGTCTGTAAACTGATTACTGAAGCTTCACAAAGAAAACGGACACTCGAAAAGTCACCAGTCAGCCAATCATCCCTAACACTACAATGCATGTTTTCCTTTTCATCAAATGTACCAATTCCTGAACAGAGCGGAAGAAACTTCCTGAAGTTTGAAAATGAACATCAGAAAGATGTGAAGTGACTGTGAACACAATGTGGATACGGAGGGGAAAGCGTCTCTGCCGCGACTGCAGGCAGTTTGACTCCAATAACAGAAAACATTCACTAGATTTATCACTGAAGTCTGAAAACTCGTTGCTACAAAGTTGCTAAGTTGGCCACGCCCCTTAGTGTGTCTCGACTCCACCCACTTTTGATTTTTATTTATTAATTTGGAGGCAGTTAAGCTGTCACATACACTTTAAAGGGGCAGTTTTATGTTTTCCAGGGATATAGTGAAATTTTATAGCACAATCAATTATCTTCAATTGTTAAATAATACTGAAAATATTAAATATGACTTAAAATAGATTTCCTGATTAAACACCTTGAAATTGGGCCTGTCTCTTTAAAAACTCCTGCTGTTTCTGAAGCTCCGCCTCCATGAGGTCATCACAACATGGCTCTTCTATTAACCCTTTAACAATGTTCTACCAGCTTTTCTCTGAGAAGCAGCTCCTTTAATGAGCTCAGCTGTTTGCTAATTGCTGCTGGCTAGTCTGAAGGAGCAGAGTGGGGAAGGAGCTGTGTCTCAAAGGCGGGGCCAGGTCCAACCAGGCGTTTTACAGAAGGATTTCTCAAACATGCATGAAAGAATCAAGGCAACACTCCTAGTATGTTTATGAGGAGGGAATGACATCATAACAAGAAGTATGGCTCAAAACGTTGATTTTACATGATTCTGGCCCTTTAAACTGAAACATTCAGTACCTAATAAAGTGGCCAATGGCTGCAAATAGGGATTACCTTTAGTTCTCTTTATTCTGACATTTATCTCAGTATAACACATCATGTGACTATGTGACACCACATAGTTCTTGTGTGACATCACATAGTTCTCAAGTGATGTCACAGTTCCATGAACTTTGTAACTGACAGCCATCTTGATAGGCAGTTGCTATGACAACAATGAACAAACAAGCTTAGAACAAGCTCTCACCTCATTCCTACCTTATAAACAGTACATTAGAGCTACTACTCGATTAATTTGAGGACTCTGTTTCTCAAACCTTTTCACACTGAGGACCACTGAACCCATTTAATAAACACTCACTGACCACAGATCCTGAAATAAGGATTCTCAGCTTTCCAATGATGTCAAACACATGGTTGGTCTTTACTTTCAAAAGTTGAGTCCATCAGTAACATTTAGAGCTATTTGTAATTTAGAAGCACAATAAAACAATAATAGAGACTTGAGTTTCTTTGGCAGAAACAAAAGTTCTCTCCAGCACCAATAAATATAAAAAGTTATCCAGTATATCAATTGTTTGTTGTAATTAAGTAATCTTTAATTAAATAAAAATAACCGTTGATGTGTGAGCAGAACATTTCAGCAAGAAGAGTCGTAGAAAATAAAGAACAGTTCTCATTAAGTGTCCACGTTATTTTTGGCATCGAAGCGAATGCGCAAGCCTATCTAAGACGGCGAGGATCACTTCCGGTTCAGAGCTGTGGGGGGTCTACGTCATAACCCTGGCAAACCAGAAAGGTTTTCTACCTCGCAGCAGTGAGAGAGCCGCGGATCCCAAACGGTGGAGCAGGTCACCTTCACCTGAGCCTGATGTTCGGGCAGCTGCGCGTTGAAAAATGAGATCAGCTGCTTGCTCACCGGGACGCGGGCAGCAGCCTGGAAACACCCAGGGCCAAGAGCAGCGACCGGCATGGGGCGGCCTGGGTGCAGTCTGCCGTCCCGGGGCCAGGCAGGTCACCTTGACGACCGGGCCGGCGAACAGAACCGCGCCCCCAGCAGGGCGAGCGGGGAGGTTTCACAGGTAATGAGGCATCGCAGTGAGACTGGAGCGGAGCTCGGACAGCAGCTTGGAGAGAAACCTGGGAGGAATGTAAGAAAAGCAATAATTCAACATATTTTCACTGTCCAAGTGTCCAAGAAGTTATTCAAGTAAGAGTAAAAAAGTATTTGGTGAAAAGTCTATTCAGTACGAGTAACTGATCAAATTATCAATCATTTAATATGTAAAAATTACATCATCAGGCCCACCAGAATAATAGTTAGGAGGAAATTTTGATATTTTAAGGAACAAAATGACAAAACTTTATATAAGTTCCAAAAAATAAAATTTTTCCAAATCAGTTTCTTTCAGTAAAAAACTTCAGAAACTTTAACATAATCTGCAGGTGTGTGTCTGCGTCTGGTGACTGGTTAAAACATTTTGTTTTTCATTCAGTGGGCAGAAAATCCAGAAATTTTACTCAAGTAAAAGTAACGATTCTTCATAATAAAATTACTAAGTAAAAATATTCCTAAAAGTAAATTTCTTCAAAAAAGTTACTAGTTACTACCCACGTCTGCATGTATTTGAGCAAATATTTTGGAAAAAAAAGTACTTTTAGGAGAGTTTTTTTTTTTTTTTACCTTTTTTTGAGTAAATGTGTTTAGATGTTTCGCTATTCCTACTTTACTGCAAAAACACAAAAAACTTAAAGTATCTTTGGTCTAGTTTCTAATGCAAATATTTTACTGCACTTAAAATAAGACAAAACTAATTTAGAAGTAACTTTTTAATAAGATACGAGAGCTTGTTGTAAGTAATTTATTAATATTGATGAAAACATACTCGCAGATAAGGACAAAATGTCACATAATGAATCTACATGTAGAACCAGAACGTTTTCATCTTTCATTTTGTTTTGGTTTTTTTTCATGTTTCTTATTAAAACGTTCCACATGATCCAGGCTCCAGCTCCTGTCTGCGTTTTGGTCCATCCACAAACTCAGTTCGTGACACTGTGAGATTCTATGTTGCTGCGTCGCTGATGTGCTATAAAAAACTACAAAAATGGCCGATCGGGGCTGAATTTAGACCAGAGCTTTGCAGCTCCTCTTAACATAGACAACTGAATAATTTACTTGTGAAAAGGAAGAATTGAGAAGCAAGAAACCTTAAGGAGAATCTAACGTGAGGTTAATAAACCAGTTTGTACAGATGTTTGTTTTGCTCAGTTCTGTTTTACCAGAAAGCTGAACGTTGGCGCTAAATAAACGTTCCACCTTAATCTCTGCTCCCTCTGTTTCCAGTTTGAATTGGCCCGTTACGAACTTCAGCTACTAAAGCCCGCAGATGCTAGTATTTAGTTATAAAAATATAAAAATGGGTAGCAGTGAGGTTATATCCTTAGCAGATTTCAGAAGATGATGAATGATTACAGGATAAGTGTTCTTGCTAACAGCGGCCCATTTTCTCCAAACGTTGCCGCAGATGCTGGCGGCTCCGACCTCAAGTAATTATTAGATCTGGTCCCACTGGACAGATTTCCAGTAACACTCCTGCATGGAACTGGAGCCGGGCCCAGCAGGTCCAAAACATGATTAGCAGCACCGGTATCCAACTCAGACCCAATGTCCAAGTCCAGTTTGAGGACAGGAGGCAGAACCGATGACTGGTAATGATGTCACAACGCGGGGCGCCATGGAGGCCAGTTACCTCGAAATACTGATGGTAAGAAATAAAAAGTGATCCTGATTGGAAAAGATTTCTCAACATTTCCATTTTCTGCAAAATGTCACCAAATCTGTCAGATTGTAAAGATTTTGAGTAAAACCATCCATCCATCTATTGGGTTCATTTTCAGTAGTTATATTTTCACAATATTATTCATTTGTAAGAGTCTCAGTTTCAAGCTAAATATTTAGCTTACCAACTAAATATATTGTGGAAAATCAAAATACTTTGCTGCATTGCATTGTGTGTCACATATTTAGTTTAAAACAACATATTTAGCTCCACATTAAATCTTTAGCAAACTAAATATTGGTTTGAAGTCAAGAATTTATTTTTAGTTTAGTTTTATATTGTAAACTAAATAATTAGCAAGCTAATGTTTTGTTAGCTTGCTCTTGAAGCAAGCTAACAAAACTATGTAGTTAGCAAGTTGAAGATTTTGCTTCTAACAAAAATATTTTGTTGCTAACTAAGTATTTCTAACTAAACAGAAATACTGAGCTTGTTGAATATTTAGAACTTTGATATTTAGAGTGAATAACTTGAATTTTAAAAATTTACCTGTATTCTTTTCTTCTTCTCATTTTTGGTTCTGCATCTTTAAAATTTGCGCCTCGTAGTGTTAGACCTCTTAAAACTGGCAACTTTTTCAGAATATTTGTGGGTTTTATCTATTTCTGGGCGGTTATGGCCTTTAAACGCCATAAATAATGGAGGTCTGCTATATATTAACTTGCATTAAAGATGAACAATTTGTCTTTTTAACATTGTTGTGTTCACTTTTTATTTCAATTTACCATTGCTGTTTTGTCTGAGCTAGTAGGAAATGTGTCACTGTGTGTTAAGGGAAGACTCTCAGGCTGAACGCATCTCCAAGTCACCACAAAGAAAGGGAGGGAAATCATAATAATGATGAACAGTTGAAATAAATTACAGCTTCCAAACTCAAACCGCGGCTTCCTGACATTAGCTGCACTCATCATATTAAGCTTAAGTTGCCAAAACTGTGATTTAGCTCGACCCAGCCTATGAATCAGGCAATTACAACATTCTCAGCTGTGACTTCATGAGCAGATCGTTTGATAAGGTGCAGAAAACTGCTACTTTCATAGGAAATTCCTGCATTTCAAACTCCATCATGTTGGAGGAAGTAGCGGCTTTCTGTCGCTGAGCATTTGCAAATGTTAGGCGTTATTATCATGTACAGGAGCTGGGGTTGAGCTGTGGGAGGATCCTGGCTGAAGCCTTGATCCAGTGCGTCTAATCACAGCAGCTTTGGTTCAAACATCAGGAAATCATTTACATGGCGTCGGCTCATGGGGAGAAGTTATGACAGTCGACTCGCTCACTGGCAGGAGCCACATCAATCTGTACAAACCTGTTTGAAATAGTGTGAGAAAAATTAATGCCAACAATTCTGAACTGCAGCGAAAAAAAGAAGATTCCTAATCTGTTGACTTGTTAACTTAAAGGGGAAATATTAAGCAAAAATTCACACTGTGCATGTTTTATACTTCCATTCAGGTTTCCACTGCTTCCAAAAACAGCCCAAGCACTTAAAAAAAACAAACAGCCAGTTGGCTTTTGGCAATAAGTTCATGTTTTTGTTGTCTGGGAAATTAATCTTTTGAATCTGACATCACAAATCAGCAGGCACTGTCCCTGTTGCCTAGCAACCCCAGCAGAGTTTTGCCCGTTACCTAGCAACCTCAGCAGAGTTCCAGCACATCTGTACAGCCGGTTTTCTTGTTGTATGTACTGTATAATGGCTGCTGGAAAACTCAAGTGTTTTGTTGTTGTCTTACTACCCAGAAACCACTTGTTGTGTCCTTGTTGGTTGCGCAGCAGGCTCCCCTTCTGCTTTTCAAAGATGGATGGATGTATTACTGCGCATTTGTTTACAGCCATTTTCATGTGTGAGTGTAAACGTTGAGTTGGGGGCGTGGCCAGCTGCAGATTATTCAGATTTAAAGTGACAGAGAGCCTAAAACATCTGACAATCAGCAGAACTGATCAGACTAAAATCACATCATCTACGAATCATTTTGTTCAAAAAATGCAATCAACATGTTTTGTATAGACCATAGTTCTATTCTGACCTTCCCAGGATGTTTTCTATCAGAGTCTGAAGCTCTGCAGGCTTCACTATGTTTGAGGAAAAAGAACATCAGAGCACAGAAAAATGATCCAAAGCATAAATTCATCTCTGGATGGCTTAAAAAGAGGGAGTAGAAGTGGTCTAGTCAAAGTATCTGATTGAGATGGGCAAGTTGTTCTGGAAAAGCCACCAAAGCAACTGACTAAAAATAATTCTGTAAAATAAAGCGGGACAAAATTCCTCCACAGAAAATATGACTGTTTATGTTGATCTCTGTTGTTTCTGTGGAACAACCTTTCCTGAGGTTCAGGGGATTATTACTTTTCACAATTGTTTTTTTTCCCTCCATAAATAAAATCATCCTTTTAAAACTGCTTTTTTACTCACCCAGGTTGTTTTAAACTGATGTTAAATACTTATTTCCAGCTCTGTAAATGTTCAGCGAGTGAAACTCTTTCAACTTTACACCACCACTTTATTCCTTCATCTCAAAATGCAACTTTCCATTTAATCTATTTTTTCTGTTAAGGGTATGGACAGATAGATGCAGAGGTGGTAAAAAAATATCAACTAGCCCACTCAAAATATGTCTCATGGCTTCAGTTGGATGCATTCCAGCTCTGGCATAACCGAGGACGGCATATTTATGGGAAGAAGAAACAAGCCTCCCCACTGCAACATGCTGGACTTCTTCTCTTTTAATCTGTCCGTTAATTAGGAAGGATCGTTTCCACTTGAACTCATCATGAAAATGTCTGAACTTTTCTCCACAAATCAAACACAGACGTTGAGTTTAATTAGACTGAAGACTTGCCTATTGTTTATGTTTTAACTGTGAAATATTATGTGTTACTGAACAGGTTCGGATTGGCCTGCGCTCTCAGAGATTTCAGTCCGATCAGTTCTGCCTGTTTTCAGGTATTTTGGGGCTCCTGTCACTTTAAATCCAAATAATTGACTGCCAACCTACCTTGGGTTGCTAAGTAACAGAAGAACTCTGCTGGGGTTGCTAGGTAACGGACTGGGCT